GTGTGTGTGTGTGTGTGTGGGGGGGGGGCTATAACCCTGAGGCACAGCCTAAGATTTTATCTTTAATGGCCTTTTTTATAGTGTTCATTACTTTTACTTTTATTCTTTAAGTAGTTTTAAAACCAGTACTTTTATACTTGTACTTAAGTAAAAAGCTCAAGTTGATACTTCTACTTCCAAAAAAGTATTTTTAAACCCTAGTATCTATACTTCTACTTAAGTAATGAATGTGAATACTTTTGACACCTCTGAGATTAAATAAGAGAATCTGTAAATCCACAAGTAAAGTCTCTAATCCTTCGTCCGTGCAGTGATTGATGGACTCGACAGGTTAAAGAAGGAAAACGCCGGCGCGAGAGACGGGATCCGTTTTCTGGAGTCCGAGTTTCGTAAAGGCAACAGGTGAGTTTGTTATGAGACTTCCTGACAGCTTTAAAACAGTTGGGTCTAACATCAGAGTCAGTGTTAAAGTGTTGCCTCACTTCTCTCTGCAGGTACATTCGCTGCCAGAAGGAGTCGGGTCGCAGTTTTGAAAGAGACAAGCTGAAACGTCAGGATGTGGAAGCCTGGTAAACTTCACCTTGTTCCAGTCGCTGCAGGATTTCTGACAGGAAGTAACTGCTGGAGGTAAACGCTCTCATCCTTCTCGCTCGCAGGCATTTGTATAAGATGATTGACAGCTGCCGTCAGCTAACGGTCTCTCAGAGCAACGGAGACGAGGACACGGCCGGCATGGTGACCATCCTAACGGCTCATGAGGTAGAAGAGCTGTGCAGTCAGTCTGCAGCGATGAAGGTCAGTCTCTCCTCATGATGATGATGATGTTTTAATTTGTGGTCATTTTTTCTTCCGTACGTTTTTTGATGTCTAACTTGTTCCCTATTTTTTGTGTTATTTCAACAATTCATCTATCAAAACATTCAGCTCATTTATGACGGTCCTGCTATGACTTTTGTTATTTCAGCTTTTTTTTTTTACTTTTTCAGTGTAAAAAAATGAATGCAGCTGTTTTCAACATCCTTAAAATCCTTTAAAATATTTCTAAATCTTTCAAATTCAAATTCAGAAATACTTTATTGATCCCAGAGGGAAATTTGGTGTTGTTGTAACTCATTTAACTAAAAACTT